ATATCCCTCGCAACTCTCTCACCAATCAAAAGTTGTCTCTGAGTCGAGTGACATGCACAAACACTAACGCAAATGTCTACAATGGCAAGCTGGACCCCCGAAAAATGCGCGGACAGGTGGTGAAGGTGCGGAAATTATAGGACGGATCTAAGGTGAAATCAGAAATGTTTATTCGCTTTTGATAAACGATTGCAAGCTTTGTTAGCCTTCAGACGCTCAAAAAAAATCGAAAATTGGAGTTTGTTGCAGTCGACGGGAAAGAAAAAAGTGTGCAAGTCTGCTGAAGATCCTTCAGCTAAAATATTCCTGACCTTTTGCAGTCAGCCCAAAAGAAATGCTGGAGAAGCGCAGCAAAATGACTAACATTCCTTCTGCAGGCTGAAATGCACATTTCAACGCCTATTTATGGAAAATGAAAGCAAAGCAGGCGTTAGCATGATTCATGGAGCGTTGCCATGAGAGAAGTTTCATTTAAAGTTTCAACTCGCTAAGCCTTGCACCCAGGCTCATCGGATGAGCTACAAAGCCGTACAAACAATAGGCGCTAGCCAAACGCTGCCTTATAAGAGAGGTAGCATTGAATGAATCTATGTCTGAATAAACAGTGGGCTAAGGAGGCTGGGCAGCAGAACTGGATCGGAATAGCAGCCGAGAGTAATACCCAAAAAAGGAGAACGACACCTAATGGGCCGAATCGATTCACACCTAAAGGTTCATTACTAATGAATGGAGCAGACATGGAAGGAACGGGCTTGGTAGGCGTCATCTCGAACCCATAGCTCTACCAAAGAGCATATGCGGGCCGTTGATGATGTAGCGCGAGCCGCTGTGTAGGGCCAGCAATCGATCCAGTACAAAACGCCTTCAGCGATGAGGTCAGAGCGGCGAGCGAGGGCGCGGACCGGACGAGATGTCCCTTGACGCGCCAGGATACCTTCTACGCTTACGTAAGACTGTCCGTCCCCCTCACATTGTCACTTCAAACGCTGAACGTCAAAGTTGACGTTTCAAGTTACTCGCTGAGTGTAACACACACATGCTGTGTGCGAGCTGTTGCTTGGATTTCGTCCTCTCGCTGCGTATCCTCGGGGAACGAGGACGACAAATGCCGAGTAAAACCAGCAGTGGGTGATTTGCAAAGTGCAACTCGGCTGACAGAGTGCGATCCAGAATTAGAACGTCGCTGCATGAATTAGGGACTCATGGCCGCTTAGCCGGCTCTTTTCCGCCTTCATCAAGACATCGATGGCTTGGAATGGATAATCAATTGCTGGCCCCATGGTTTAGTTATAGCCAAG